GCAGATCAAAAAACTTAAATTCGATCGAATAGCTTTCTACTTTCACAATACACGGTCTCGTCAAGGTGCGTCGTTGACCTCGCAGTGTCGGATCGTGAATTCTCTTTTTATGCTGTTTGCCTATTTTGAAATCTCTGTAAATGAAAACTAAAGGGGTTGATATGTGCGAGTTAATGACGCGCCTTATCAACACATTGTGTTGGAGTTCACTGCTTGTTTTTTTTTCCAGTGCGGTTTGTTTATATTTGCTGTTAATTTGTTCTCTCTAATCTGTGTTTTATCTCTGTCCGCAGATTTCCCTAAAAAAGCACAATGGCAGCCAGTCTGAAGAACCGTTTGGGAGTCCAGGAAGTGACGGACGTGAAGAGCGGGTTGGGCAAAGCGCTCGTTGCCGAGGCTCTGGGCACGCTCTTCATCAACTTCTTCGGGTGCCTCAGCGCCGTCAACCTGGTCGAACCCCAGGCCGCACCTAACCTCGTCCTCATCGCCCTTACTTTTGGATTTATAGTCTTCGTCGCTGTCCAGGTGAGCTTCCCCTCTCCCGTACTCATTTTTCTCCGCAGGGTTCCAGTGGCGTGGCGCGCATTGGCGGATCCAGCAAATTGGCAACATTGTTTTTCTCTATTTAACCTACGGAAATGTATCGATTCTTGAAGGGGCCAGGTGCTCCGACAAAAATCGATTATTTAACATAGATGTAAATGGAGGGAATCCGGTGTTGCCAAATTGCTGGATCCGCCAATACGTGGCGCGAGCTTTGCGATGTATCTGGCGCAGGCAAATAGTAAAATCAGGCAATTCGTCAAATGCCCAGGCAAATAGTCAAACATTCTAACTTAGATCGAAATCCTGATTCTTTTCCTAATTTCAGACAAAATAATTCATTGCTCCTGCAAGAAAAAATTTTCTGTAAAAATTTGCACACACAATAGTATGTTAAACAATTTTTAGCTTCTGAAGAGACACTGATCTTGAAATTTTCAACACGTCGTAAAGTACAGAATTTTTGGAATTTCAACAGTTAAAAATATGTAAGGCAATCATTGAAGAGGAAGAGACAAAAAGAGTTCGTAAGTTTGATGAGTTATTTTTCCAAAAGTAGTGATAAATCGTGAGCTCTCTGCCATAAATTCGCAAAATTTTGTAGACCGTCAAAATTTGACTATCTGTCTAGGCATTTGACAAAATGCCTGAATTTACTATTTGCCTGCGACATATCGATCGATCTGCTGTTTAAACCTATGGAAAAGAATTGATGGACAGAGTGTTTTCAACGATCATCTAAATAATCGATTCATTATCTTAACTTCAAATAGGGAAATATCGATAATCGATTGCCCACGCCACTGCTGGGATCTTCCACGGGAAAAAGGACCTAGTCCAGTCAAGTTAGCTGGGTTTTGAGTTTTCAGGACAGCGATTCTGCTCAAGTAGCACAGTGCAGTGAATTTTTTGAAATAAAATGGTAATTTTTCACCATTTTTCACCAATTTCACCAATGTACGCATCGCTGCACAATTTTTTTTTTTTTTAATAAACATACATCTCCTCGCGTAAGTTATTTCTAAGTATACACTTAAATGAGTAGGTGAAGTTCCGTTGCATTGAATGTTAAAAACCATCACAATACTTCGCTTATTGAGATATCCGTCTCATAATATAGTTTATTTAAAATGATTTCTACTCTGAATTGCTCAAACTGTTCCTGTTCCTTGTTTTAATTTAGAGTGCATTATTTTCAGTCCGTGGGACATGTGAGTGGTGCTCACATCAACCCTGCCATCACCGTTGGGCTTCTCGTGACCGGCAAAGTTACGATCATTAGGGCTTTCCTCTACATCGTCGTCCAAGTCCTCGGCGCCATCGCTGGCTCAGCCATCCTCAGGGTACGTTGCAATTTTTCATATTTTACATTTTTTATTTTACCATGTCATCCTCGTGTAGATTATTACGACGTCGCCCGTAGATGATCAACAACCACTTCCATAAAAAGTAGAAAAGATGTGCGGGAGGACGTTTAGTATCCTCGGAGACTTAAACACAGGAGTAGAAAAGTAAGAGAGAAACTCGTCTCGTAAATCGATTGAACTTAACGCGTAGCGTTTGCAGAAATCATTTCATTGCATAAAACAAGGAAACCTAATCAAAAACACGTGCGGGAGAACATCCAGTATCCTTGGAGACTTAAACGCAGGGGTAGAAAAGTAAGAGGGATTCTCGTAAATCGACTGGAGTTAACAAGCACACTGGGAAAAAAACACATTGGATCTAGAGTCCAGACTCTTAAAAACATCGACAAGAAAAAATACCCTTGATTCAACCGGATTTTTGCTTAAATCAAGAACCAAGCTTCTTATTTTGAGCGGATTTCTTTTTGATTTAAGCAAAAATCCGATCGAATCAATAGTATTTTTTCTTGTCGATGTTTTTAAGAGTCTGGACTGTAGATCCAATGTGTTTTTTTTTTTTTTCCAGTGTATGCGTTTGCAGAAATCATTTCATTGCATAAAACAAGGAAACCTAATCAAAAACACGTGCGGGAGGACATTCAGTATCCTTAGAGACTTAAACTCAGGGGTAGAAAAGTAAGAGGAATTCTCGTAAATCGACTGGAGTTAACACGTACACTGGAAAAAAAAAAACACATTGCATCTAGAGTCCAGATCTTCTCCTAGGAAGGTGATAGGTGCGCGATTGTAAAGCTTGAGCCAAAAACGGTCTTACGTTTTCCTCGAGATAGTATAACTTTACAACGATCGAAATTTACTCAGATATATCTGAGTGTTTTTCGATCTCAACATCGAACTATGCATATATGGAGGCAGAATGGAGGCTCTCATACAAAAGCCTGCTCTGATTTTCTTTCTTCTCGTGGCAATATTTTTGTAAGTATCAGCTTTTAATTAATTTTCTTACCCTTTTACAGGCACTGACACCCTCCTCATACGACGGAGGTTTCGGGGTCAACAAGCTCGCCAACAACTTGACTCCCATTCAGGGACTCGGAATTGAATTCATCCTTGGATTTATCTTGGTTCTCGTCGTCTTCGGAGTGTGCGATGCCAACAGACAGCACACACAAACTATTGCTGCCCTCACCATTGGTCTGACCGTCGCTGCTGGACATCTTGCCACGGTGCGTTTTGAAAAAAACATTTTTAAACAATTTCAAACAATTAATCAGCAGTTAACGCCAATTTCAGGAGTCCAAATTTGGTTGGAGATGATTTGTTAGGTCGTAACATTTACCCAAGAATAAACCGTCTCCCCCCCTTTTTTTTAAAGTAAGAAGGTCATCTTAAATTCTTGAGAGTTTAATTGAACCGATTATTTTCCAAATTACGTAAGCGCCAAAATTGCGAATACGAGAAAAACAAGGAAACCCGTCGTATTCGCTTTGTTGACAATCTTCGAATTTTTCAAAAAATGTATGTTCTTTTAGAAGGCTATTTTCGAATCATGCATGATTCATTATACCAGAAAAAACAACCCCTCATCCATCGAAGTTAAGATTTGCGCCTACATGATTTGTAAAATAATCGGTTTGAATTAGTTCACTCTAGTTCATTTTTAGTTGCATATTCTGCAATTTTCATCAATATGAACGATATTTAAGTAGATTCTTATAAAGTTTTGGTACCAATTTTGTCTGTGTATTTTGATTTTACATCGATTATACCCGGGCAAATGAATTTCATGCCAGAAACTTTTTCAAGAATATCTCAACCTGTATTTACATGTTTTTTTTTTTTTTTTTTTTTTTTTTTTTTTTTTTTTTTAAGTCCAGACAGAACAACTATGCATGCTGGTTGAGCAATTGCAATTTTAGATTTCTATCTAAGAGCTTCTTTCTACCATTAACAGCATAGGTAGTCACTTGAATATGCGGATATGCATTCACAACTTCAAATTGTGATAATAAATGCCCTGAACAATATCCTTATTATCTTAACCAAACTGAATAATTTTAAATTTATGTTCTCAGATTGACTTCACTGGAACAGGAATGAACCCTGCTCGTTCTTTCGGAGCTGCTGTCATTGAATCTTTCTGGGAAAACCACTGGGTGAGTACTATCAGGGTCTCCCTCTTGGTTTTTAAGCATAAGAGAAAGACTCGTCATTTCAATTATTTCAATTTAATCCGCGCTCTACAATACAAAATAATCGTATCTGATCATAGATTTTTATTTTTTGATTGTAATCATCGATAAATCGATCATTATTAGTAATCTTTTCCCAGTAGTGTTACTGAGGAAACTCAAATTCGTAATGAAGAAGAAAGTGCCAGGGCCGGATTCACCTACTTGCCGCCCATGGGCCGCCTGTATTTTGCCGCCCCCTTCTCATTCGTTTTGAAACTAGATAAAAACCATCAAGTGAACGTGCTAGCGGGGAAGGGGTGCATAAGACGCATTTACTCGTGTTGAACACATTTTTTGGGAAAGCCCTGTCAACACTACTTGCAAAAGTTCACGGAACTTTGCGCGAAAGTTAAGTTTCGTAAACCTATCTCGGTGTGGACAAGGCCTTCCATGTTTGGCGCAAAGCGTGAAGTATTCAGACAGTCTTGTAGGCGCTATGCGTTCCACGCTGACCGCACTGTGTTTGGCGCAATGCGTGAAGTATTCACGCAGTCTTGTAGGCGCCATGCGTTTCACGCTGACCGCACTGTGTTTGGCGCAATGCGTGAAGTACTCATGCATTCTTTAAGGCGCTATCCGTTTCACGCTGACCGCTTTGACCGCACTATGTTTAATGCAATGCGAGAAGTATTCGTGCAGTCTTGTAGGCGCTAATATGTATTACATGCCGATCGCCGCGCCGAGGGCTTCTCCTTTTCATCTCAAGTCCTCGTTATCATTTCTCTCTAAGTCGCGCCGTTCCAGACCAAATTGCAAGTTTGGTTTCTCTCTTAACTCGACTAATGGAAGGTACTGTCTCTTGTATCACTAAGAGACAACAAAATTAGAAATTACCATACTTTCAGGAAGTGAGAGATTTTGTCGCCCTTTCTCGTTTGTATTTTTTTTGTCTAAATCCGATTTTTTTTATACCTACACTTAAAAACATCGCAAATTTTTGCCGCCCCTTAGATTTGCCGCCATGGGCCGCGGCCCGTGTGGCCACCCCCTTAATCCGGCCCTGCCTAGTGAGAAAAAATCTATTGAAATTCTTACTCTATAAAGATATATCTAGATCAACATTTCCTTGTCAAATCCGAAGACCATATATTAACAAAATAACACTTTAACTACAATAATCAAAATTTTAGGGGATATACTTAAATGTTCTCCTTTCAGTACTGTTTTAGAATTTTTATGATTCTTTTTAAAGAGGACAAGAGAGCAACGATGTGCCACACAGAACTTTGATTTTATATCCAAAAAAGTTATTTATTTATCTTATTTTTAGAAAGACATAGTTCAAAAAGCTAATTTGTGATTTGTAAGAAAATAACTTCAGCGTTATCAGCCAATTGACTTCTTCGTTTTGCAAATCTTTGAACTAAACAAGTAGCNCTCGCGAACTTTTATACAAGAATCAACAGTCAAATTGCAAATTCCTCGCACATGTAACATCTCCATTGGGCCAAAATGCACCGATATCAATACCTCATATGTTACTTGGTTCCTCGAAAATTCTCCTCTTGGACTTAGCCTAAAAGTGTGGACACTTTTTAGCCTCCGGCGAAACCTAGAGTCTATACGGCTTCGCCGCACGACTAAAAAGTAAATAAATTAATTGATTTAGAGTGTGCTCATCTAAACTTGTTCTCCATTTGTTTTCAGGTATTCTGGGTCGGACCAATCTTGGGAGGAATTGCTGCCAGTTTGCTCTACACCTACACTCTTGCTGCCCCTGCTGCTGGAGAATACAGCCCAGTCAATGTTGAAGAGAAAGAGGTAAGTTTCTATAAATGCGTGCGTATAAAAAAGTAAAATTTACATTCTTTAGGCAATACCTATGCTCTTCAGCTCTCTGAGAAAGCATCTTGCAATTGGAGGCTATCAATACCAGTGCAATATATCAAATCATCAATTGAAGGTATTCTTTTTCACTGCTCACTGAATTGAGAAAAGTAGACAAAAAGAATTGTCTAGAAGGCTTCAGTTTCAAAGCAGCCTCACAGATTTTATTGCGAGTGTTTTGCTTCTGTGGCTTGAAGCTGTATGATCATAACTGCATTTAATTGATCTGAAATATACCAACAAAAAACTATGCAAAGACCTTTTTGCCTGAAGTTTAAAATACAGGTTTCGGATTTGTACATCTGGTTTTTAGCAATAATTCGACTATCAACTTTATCATAGATAAGGAAGTGTTCTGAAGGATGCCAAAGATCTAAAAGTCAGTGTTTATCAAAGATACTGATTACCGTCCTTTGACCTATACTTGAATTACAGGTACCAGTCTCTGAAAGAAATAATGACATGACACCAAAGTAATACACGTAATTGGGTTTCTTAGTCTCCTAGTAATTGCAAGTGTGGTAGTCAGAACAAAGGAAGTTCAAATATCGTATAACTCGATTTTTCTAAAAATATAAAAAATCAGTTGTTATGCTTGGGCTCTAGACTGTAAATATCTGATTTGATTATGATGAACTGTCCTGACAATACTTTTGCCGAAGTTTTTTTTTATTTTTGTTTGCCTAATCCTTTTTTATAAGAATCAAGCAAACAAGAAACAGATAACTTCTGACAATGAAACTAAGTAAAAAAAAATATGACCCATTTGACTTTTATGTGATGCTTTGTTAAAAATCCTAAAAGAAGCTGTCTTAAATGACAAACTTTGTTCAAGTTATTGTTTCTTGCGAAACGTCTGCAGAAATCCTGATTCTTTATATTATCTATTTTTGTCAACAAAAAGATCAGTGAAATAAATGGTAAGGGTAGAAATTATCATTTTCCTCACTTTTATACCTTTGCTTTGGAACATCAGCTCAGTGTTTTAAATATTTTAGAGGATTCAACACAGGAATGGAAATTATAATTTTAACGATTTGGCATTATGACTAAGTTAATGTATATTTTTTGTTTTATTTCAGCTGAAATCTGTTGAAACTGCAAATAACTAAACTGGCAGTATTGCGTTTTCACAATTATCGAAGATCTCCACAAACAAGTGACCAATGACCAAGTGGGTTTGTCCACACACTTGCTAATGACAATGAAAATTGATAATGTACCTTGAACAGAACTTTAATGATTAAGGTTTATTTATTATTTTTTTCGCTTTATGACTAAGTTTGTAATGTTCAGACTTTTTTAATGAGAAAAGTATTTTAGAATTTTATGTAAGTACCAAGAATTAGTCTAAGATTTAATAATATGACTTGAAATCAAAGAGACCTTTCCCAACGTTTACAGTTTACAGTTTTTAATGACAAATTTTTTTAAAATAAAGAGTTCTCCATTACTTGTTTTAAGATGCAAATCTACTTTTCCACAAATCACAAAAATTTTACGATTGATGTACATAAAATGTGTAAATATATAAATAAAAATATATTTAATGTTAGGGATTTTTATCATATGTTATTAGAAAAAGCTGACATGAACAATTTTTAACATTTACTATCCATCAAGTAGAAAGAAAGATAATAATGGAACACGATTTGAAGAAAATGAATTTTAAAAAAAGAATTTTCTTCTTTGCACTCAATCTCCTATAGAGAAATCAGAGGATCAAAATTACTGATTCATGGTGAGGTTGAGAAATTTTGTTGTGCAGAAGAAGGAAACGCGCACGTATGCTCAGAAGAAAAAAAGAAAATTGCATTTTTAGTGAAATTATGAAGAAAAACTGTGTTCCATTTTCTTTCTCATTAAGCTGCCAATAATTTAATGGAGTGTTATCACTTTTAATTCTCAGTTTGTTTGTGGTTTGTATTTTAATATATTTTTCCTCTATCTTAGTATAATTTTTTATTGCTGTTTGCTTCCTACTTACTGATTACTTCCACTTTTGGAAAATAATACACTTACAGGAAAGAATCACAAAATATAACTTACTTGATTTATAATCATCTTAAAATTTCATTGCGTTTAATCGCTCATAGCATTTGTTTAATTCCTTCATTGTCAGATTACATTCCTGAACATTGCAATAGTAGATGGGACTTAATTTTGGCTAATTCTAAAATACTATCAATAGCTTCATTCCAGCAGTTAAGTCTTAAAATTCTGAAGCAAGAAAATTTTACAATCTGGAAGAGTCCAAGAAATAGGGTTGTTACTTTATACTTATTGGAGACCTAGTCTGTCAGCTTTTCTGCCGAGGACTGTACTGCAAAATCTTTTTACCTTCGTATGTTTCTATGGTCCCTATTTCTTCTTGTAGTCCCTTTTTTCCAGGACATTTTTTTACATGACTTTGTACAATTTTGTACCTCATTGAAAACTGAAATAAAACTATTGCTGTTTCAAATTAAACTATGTGTTTTCTTATGATTTTTGCAAAAACATTAATTGTCCTACGTCATAAAAAACTAATTATTTTTTTTTTCAATGATGTAACAGTCTAATGAAGAAACTTGAAGAAAAAGTGGCCAATAATACTACAGGGACAAAGGACTACGTGCAAAACGGGCCATTTGGGGCTCGGGGCGGATACCTTTTAGACTTGCCCTATGCATTCACCTAACAATGCCCCATCTTTTCCCAAAGTTTCAAGCCCCCCAAAAATTTTGGGGTGACGCGGCGGGGGGTCAAAGTTGAAAACCGGCAAAATTTTCGCGAATTTATTACTCAAAAACCAAGAGGTTTTGGAAAACGCGGTTTAAACGAGCGTATTCAGCGTGACGAGAGCTTTCAGAAAATGTATAACATCATAGGGTTTTGTCAACTTCAGCTCGAGTTATCGCCTCCGAAGCGCCGGAACGCTCAAAAAAGACCCCTTTTTTTTTCACGTCCGGGCCGATTTAAAAAAAAGCCATTTTTTGATTTTGCTGAAAAACTGATATGTTGTTCCTGACCCTCTGTAGCACCTTTTGCTCTTTACCGCATGCTGGGGAAATGATTTGGTCGCGAGTTATAAGAGCGGAAAGGAGCGAAGGTCGGGAAAATCGGCTGTTTTAAACTGCGCGCGGCGACGGATCAGGAGACATGTGGCAACAATGCGAGGTCGGCAGTGGAGTGTGATTCGCCGAACTGAGTGGGAGGGGACGTTTTCCTTCCGATCAACGCCGCGCGCGCAGTTTAAAACAGCCGATTTTCCCGACCTTCGCTCCTTTCCGCTCTTATAACTCGCGACCAAATCATTTCCCCAGCATGCGGTAAAGAGCAAAAGGTGCTACAGAGGGTCAGGAACAACATATCAGTTTTTCAGCAAAATCAAAAAATGGCTTTTTTTTAAATCGGCCCGAACGTGAAAAAAAAAGGGGTCTTTTTTGAGCGTTCCGGCGCTTCGGAGGCGATAACTAGAGCTGAAGTTGACAAAACCCTATGATGTTATACATTTCCTGAAAGCTCTCGTCACGCTGAATACGCTCGTTTAAACCGCGTTTTCCAAAACCTCTTGGTTTTTGAGTAATAAATTCGCGAAAATTTTGCCGGTTTTCAACTTTGACCCCCCGCCGCGTCACCCCAAAATTTTTGGGGGGCTTGAAACTTTGGGAAAAGATGGGGCATTGTTAGGTGAATGCATAGGGCAAGTCTAAAAGGCATCCGCCCCGAGCCCCAAATGGCCCGTTTTGCACGTAGTCCTTTGCTGACTATACGACAAAACTGTGGTGGCATATAAGCAAGAGAAAAAAACTTTAGGCAGGTACATGTATGATACAGGCTGCAAATTTTTTAAGGAGAATCAATTTTAAGAGCCCAAAATCAAACTTTCTTGTATCAATCTTTTGGAAATTGAAAAGATCAATTTTTTGGAAATTTTCCAAAGATCAATTTTTTGGAAATTCCAAAGATCAACTTTTTGGTAATGGCAAAGATCAATTTTTGGAACGAGCTTGCAAAGTACCTTTCGATGCAAATTTTATCGAAAATCAATCTGGTTGCAAGTTTGTAGTATCCAAGTTTTCTACATTTCACAAATAATGGAATAAAATTGCATTGATGAATGAAATCAAGAAGAATTCTGAATATATACAACAAAATAATGAGTTTATTCATAATTTACACGATATATCTCAGTGTTTCCAACAGGTACACACAAAAAATTAATATTGTACGGATTCCAGAACCAGAAAAACAACACAAGCGTTTATCCAGTCTTATTTCATGCCTCATGGAGGGTAATAGCCCTACACCTTGGAAACAAGTTATTTTATTTTTTTGGTTGTTGTAAATTGACAAAGTTCTCTAAAAGACAAGGAAAGTAAAAATTAAAAATGACCAATACAGGGCACTCCATTAGAGCAATCAAAGAATTTTATTTTATGCAGTACATTGACTACATTGGAACACAAAAATACTAAAGTAATTTGTAAAGGTTTCAAGTTTCTATTTTCTCTTTTTTTTTTTTTCTTATTCTCTTTTAATGCTTACATTTTCTGTTCCTCTGCTGATTAGTTTTCATTTATTTACCTTTAATGATGAAGTATTTTTTTGTTTTGTTGAGTTCCTTGGTAGTTCACTGTTTATTCAGTGGGTTCTTCTATGGGAACGAGTGGTTCTTCGGTGAGAAGTAAACCATGCTCCCAGAAATCAGTGAGCAGCTGAAGCTGTAACACAAAAAAGAGAACATTCATTAAAAAAAAAACTCGTTGCTCAAAATAAGCTTTTTCACTTTTTGGTGGGGTTTCCCAAAAAATTGGTTGCATTATTTCTTGTTACCTATATATATGTACTGCACCTATTTCTTATCGTATCCAATGAAAAGAAAAAACGAAACACAAAAAGAGCTAGGATACAAAATATACCACAACTTGTCAAATCACAGATATACATTGCTGAAGGATGTGCAGAAACTTTATCGAAACAAGTTGACTGATATCATGGATAATGCTGCGTTTATTGACAGATTTGCTGCCAGCAAAATTTGATAATTTTTATACACCATGTTCCATTTAGTCTCCTAAGCTTTAGAACCGAAATACTTCCTCCGTATCCATACCGATTTCCAGAAAATTGAGGCTGAAAAGTGAAATTTCCATCCCTTGAGCACTAGTTGAAACACAGTATCTCATGGAATTCTGGCACCGTTGCTGTACTGCACTAGTAAGTAAGTGGCTTTATTCCTTTATCAATGCAGGGTTTCCACAATTTCTTCATTTTCCAATTTTCTGACTTTTCTGTGATTCCAAAGTTTCCAAATTCTCTGAATTTTTCAACCTTTTCTAAAAACTTAGAACAAAACTGCTACTTAGATTTTTTTCTGTGCTAATATGCTAACTTGCAAAATTCCTTGATTTTCTCCCATGAATTTCCTGAGTTTCAATGACTTTTTCTGGTTGCTGTGCATTTTCTGGCTTTGAAGGTTTTCAAGACCGCCAGACGTCCTTCAGAGATGTCGACCTTCTTTTATCACGTACCCATTAGGATCTTTGACTTCGCTACTTAGTTGCAGAACACTGAGATAGTCATAATGTTGATGCACTAATTTGCCTCCTCCTCAAATGTTAACAGATCAAATGAATCGGGACGTGCGAAAACCGCTTATATCCATTTTTCCAGTCTTCACTTTTTTTGAGTTGATAATACTTTTCGGAGTTGGATGCAACCACGAAAGTGGCTTTAATACTCGTCTTCGGGTTACCATAATCCCAAAACGAGTCCTTTCATCACTTGTATGGTTGTATAAACTCTTTAAAAGTATTATCAACTCAAAAAATAAATTTATGGTTGTATCAACTCTATAAAAGTATTATGAACTCAAAAAAGAAAGACTGGAAAAATGGGCGTTAGCAATTTTCGCTCGTCCTGATTCAATGAGTTGTATCTCATTACTGGATACAACAGTGCAAATTATATGGTTTTAAACAAAATTGAAAATAAATTCACAATATGGACACTATATGTACTTACTATTTCATCCTCATTTGAATGGCCTAAATCTTCAATTTTTACAAACTTTGGGTAGCTTTTAATGAGCGATATTACACAACCAACTAGAGAATCAGGGACAACTAAAAATTGAGGGTCATTTCCATGGTATTCTAAGGAATTTTCTAGGGTGTAATATAATCGAGCTTCCAATTCACGTAAACCAGTTTCCTCATCAGGCTCACTTTCCTCTTGTACCAACCTGAAAAAATCAAAACCAGATAAACTTATTTATTAACATGCTATAAAAAAGGGTAAAAGCCGCTGAATACATTATGGTGATGGGAGATTCCCATAGAAAAAATAATACTCACGATTTTTTAAATAAAACAATACATTTAGACAGAAATTCTTGATCTCTGAATTTTGAACACTTCAATAAATAACAATCACATTGAGTTCAAAAATTGCCTCGCCTCAAGTTAGATTAAAGTAACCTTTTTTTTGTGTCCTTTTTCTTGAAACATGAACTGTTATGAAACATTACCGGGAAAATTTAAATATTAATTTATAAATAAAATTAAAATTTTTTGGGATTCTAATCCCTGCATTTACATCCGGTCACACTTGAAGACCATTATAACTGCATATTACATACATGCATGAAAGTTGCTCCTACAATGCACTCTGGCACTTGGCGACACCCGAACGCCACATGTACCTATCTTCCCAAAGATTATCAGGCAACGAAACATCTCTCCGTCAACGCCCAGCCGCCATTTCTTCATTGAACGTCCCTGTCGCCTTTTTTTTTAGGTGGTACCCAATCCAAAACTTGTTTGAGCAACCTCTCTTCCAACATTCTTTGCCCAAGTCCATACCACACTAACTGCCTTTGTACATGACGTAATGCGTGATATCACTTCCAACCTTCATCACCTGGCAAATACTTTTATCACAGACACTGCCCTGTCTTGAGATGCCTGCAGTTCGCCGCCAAAAATCCATTTCAGTTCCCCTTCCCATATCTTCCGTTCACTTTGTTAAAAGCCACACTTCACTACCATAGTGCACGATGTTTTTCACAATGCCCACCATTGTGAGAGGTAACTGCATATTGAACTTTAAAAACGTAAGCTTTTGTTATAAAATAAAAAAATCATAGAAATATATTTGCCTTACCGACAGCAATGACGGCGAATAAATTTAATACTCGAACTTGGGTCTAGCTGAACTCGATTAATAACATGACCTTCATGAGTCATACGCAAACCAGAATCTACAGTGCAGCTTAATTCCTCTGAAAAACAAAGAAACTTTCATTAAGAAAAAAGTGATAAGGTGGTCCGACTATAGAATTGATGCAGGTAAAAATAATTTCTTCTCCCTTGAAATTCAGCACATTTTGATTCCAAGAATTTCGTGAGAATTTTTAAAAAGGTGTTATTTTACCACATTTCAAGATACTGAGTCAACAAGCTGAAAATGATGTTTAGCTGCAAAGCATGAAATTTGAGACAAAACATCATAATTTCAGTTCTACAAGGAAATGAATGGTATGTTAATAATATAACTTAATCTAAAAACTTAATGATAAAAATGATCATCTTGGTCTTCATAATTTAAATGCTTTCAGCCTTGATTCCATATTCTTTTGCCATTTTTTGGTCAAGTGTAAATAAGTAAATTTGAATGCCCATAATATCAAAGTTAAGATGTTAATTCAATAAGCCTATTTCATTATGAAGGAAAACCTCCATATCTTTTTATGTACCATAGGTCGCAAGAGAACGACTGATATGCAGGTCATCGGCATTTTTGGGGGTCTTAAAGCCGCCAGAATTTAAAAAAAAAATTCTCATCAAAATTCTGAATCGAAGAATTTCAGCCAAAATTGGCACAGCTCTAATGTTAAAAATAAATCAATCCGTCAAATTTGGATTACATTAGATAAATCTAAAGAAAAACTCTAACTTACTACTACAGGAAATTGCATTTTTGACACAGATCAGTCAAACATGCACATGAAGGAGCCAATTTCCATTAAAATTGTCCGAAATTTCTGTTTTACATAGAAAAATTTTCGAGTTTTGTAGGGATGATGTTTTTCGAGATTCATGCAGCATTTTTTGAGACCCCCCAAAAAAGATGCATAGCTAGCAAAACAACTGTTCTTCTACAATAAAAGATACGTGTACATAAAAATATATTGAAAAGAGCGAACTACGTATTTTAAAAAATTCATTTTTCCAAAATAAGAAGATAGATTTTTGAAGTATTGAGAATGACTTCGAACAGATTGCGGTTTGATACATAAATTGTTTAGGTAGTCAGTCATTAAGTAGCATTTTGCCGAGTCGTGTTGAGAAAAGTCTTTGAATTGCGATTTTACTGTATCGGACGGCTCAAATTATGTTCATAGATCGTAAAAGCTTGGTTCTTGCCATGTTCTGATTTGAACCACAATGTAATATCTTTAATACTTTGCCAGTCATGGATCTTCAAGATTTGCAACACGGCAATCTTGCAAAACACAGCAGGGTATTTTTTTACGGGCTTGGATTTTTTTAGGGTAGTGTCCTTCTTATGGTAATAAAATTGCTGAATATTTGAGAACACCTAAGTTACAGAGAATCTGGCCATTTCTGTGTGAGCATTCTTTACCTAGTGTCAGCACAGGCGGTAGTGCGTCATGCATGAATGAAGTTGCTACGCTATCCACCGCTGAGTCAAGATCTATATAATCAACTACTCGGTGGAGCAATGATTTTACATGCTCTATGAGCTGACGTTTCTCGTCAGAGGTCTCTCCACTTTGAGCAAAGCCGAACTGATTGATCATATTTAATGGAAGGCCTTTCCGCAACTCAAAGTCCGATTTTATAGCTGAATGCAATGCTACAGGTAGTGCCTGAAACAAGAAATGATTATATTGAGTAAATTTCTACTTTGCGTTAATTCTATACCACACTAAGCTTAGAATTTATGAGCCTATTATCTCGGTCTGACATGCAGGTAATTTTAAAAATTTGAAACTGAAGTCCCCATACCCATTGCAGTTCTTGAAGAAAAATTTATATTACAGGTTTGCTTCTCAATTTTTTTTTGGAACCATGGTTTGTTTAAAACTTATCTCACAACTCACCGCTACTATTATTAGCAAGTTATTTGGTTCCTGGATTATTTATTTCCTTCCCATAGCAATTTCTAACACAATACGATTTACTTATGTTTAAATACTGACTACAGAATTGAGTCAACTGGATTCTGAAGCTTCTTTATATTTTACCTACAACAAGGAGTATTTTGGTACTCAGACCAAGAGTTGACACGACTGCTTCAACTATTGAGGGATAACAAGAGCCAACGATGTTTTCAATAGACCCAGGCTAAAAAATTGTCTTCTCGGTTATGGTTTGCAATTAGACTTGAATCTTAGTTCCTCAATTTATGTTTGCTACAGTGGCTGCGCACTTTTTATACGTATTATGAGCATTTATGCAAGTGAACACGAGAGTGACTTACTTTTTCTAGAAGATCTGCAAAAGAGTTGCGCTGATACACAGATATTGTGACATGCAGAGAATGATAATCAGGATCAGTGCAACCTTGATGGATGTAACCTCTGGGAAAATACAACATATCTCCTGCTTTTAAAGTCACTTCCATAACCGGATCATCTAGTTCCTCTTCTGTTAAGTTTCTACTTGAAAATCTAGGTAACTCCTCAGCTGGTAACCTGAGCAAGAATATTTTAAAAGCATGCAAAAATAGGAAACATCGGTGGAACAACAGGAAACAACATTATAAAACATAGGAGGCAAGTTTTCAAGATATTTTGCAATGCAGGTGTATACTTTGTTGATTGATGAACTGCATAAAAGGGAATTATTCCCATCAGACCATTTCAACATCTTAAAATGATAGAATAAAAACTGGGCTGCCACGTATGGATTCGAAAATTTTAAGATTCGCTGAAACAACTGAGAGAAAAATAAAATATTGGAAGCTAGTGGTATATTTAGGTATTTTCCAGACAAAAGGAAAATACTGGATTGGTTTTTTTTTTACAATTTCTGATGAGTAAAACTTATTGCTAACAAAAGAGCACCAAGTGCAAATTGATTTTATTGTTTTTGGTGTAGAATTTTGCTGACCAACCACATAACAAGCCGACTTCTTGTTTCTTGAAAAACCCAGTTTCTTGTAGCTGCATAATGCCTGATTAAGTTATAAGAAAGTTGAGAGGACAAAGCACATTTTACATTACTTATTCTTTGCTAAGTGCAACATTGACCGAACACCTGAAGTGAAAGGATCTACAGGTTGATGTTTTCGATATTTTTGTTTTTGCAACCGTTTACGAATGAACAAATTGAATTTTCTAAAGGAATTGAGTCTTTAAAAAGAGAGTTAATCATTGTCTTATTGTTAGTAAAAATGGAGAAAACCAAGTATGATAGAGGGAAGGTTTGAGGCTTTCTGCATTCTAACTCTCAATCAACTCTGCTTTTCAGGAAGCTAAACTGCTCTGCCTTGCTGTCCAGGTAAGTTATGCATATTACCTGAAAAAAAAAAGATTATCATCTGAGTGAGTGCTTACCTTGGTTTGTACACTTTCCATTTCTTCTGTCCTTCGATTTGAAGAATGAAAGCCTCTATATCATCAAAATGAGGTGCAAAACCCTGAGAGTCTGGTGGTGTCAAATATGCATTTGCACCAACAAAGCAACCAAAATATTCCTGCATCATAGCGTTGACAGTGTGTAAGTTTTTGCAGTATGTTTGCGGATTCAGGAGACGAATGCTGCACTTATTTTCGTAAAAATCCCAGACAACATGCGGCAATGCTCTTCCAACTGAGTTATGCGTTTCTCGTTCCCCGTTCGTATATGATGTTACATCTAGATTTTTTCCAAAGATGATACTGTTATTACGTAACATTTCATCAATTTGTGGAGTACTCAAGAGGGCTGAATAGTAATCTGGCGTTTTTCTGCAGACAAAAACAGGTTCTTTTTCCCAAGTTTTACTGAAACAGGGAAGAAAACAATGTGATATTATGACCGCAATGGCAACCAATTGAAATGAAAAAAGATTATTCTTGAGGTTTCTACCACTAAAGAGGGTGAAACCACTATGGGCCTCCCAGAGCGGTTATCATATTCTTCTTACTAATTCATTCTGGTAGTCATTTTGCATAAAATAAAATAGGTGCATTGCATATTCCTAAATAATTTAATAATGCAGTTCTTCCAAATGTATTCCTTACTTAATAGAAGCAGCTACATCCACATCTGTCTGTGGAAAATAAACAGAAACACTCAAAATAACGATTGGTGAATTTATCTGTACTGCAATACAAAATTGTCACAAGTTACGCAAATTTTAGAGAGTATAGAGACCTCTTTTCGTAAAGAAAATTACAAAAGCTAACCAACAATCTCTCTTGGATTCAGCCATTTTCAGAGAAAAATTACCACTGAATTTTTTTGAAACTCTTCGTGATTTTTATTCTCTGTTTGAAAAATAATCCACAAAGGTTTCATACATCAAAAGAGGTTTTGATTCTTCAACAAAATGAGACAGAGTCAGAGATTCTAGAATTCTGCAGTTATGATACAAGGCTTAAGCCATCATTATTTTTTTACAGGATGGCTTTAAGATATCGACAGCACTTACGGCTCCAGTCATCAGTGCAAGTTGGTGATTGAAGAAAAGCGTCCGATTAGATTTCCCTTGATCAATGGTTATGCTGCCTTTAGTCATCAACCTGCAGGGCAGACTGGTGCACATTAGGTGCCCTAATTTTGCATGAAATTGTGACTGACAAACTTTTTTAACTAAAACTATCTTTTCTTAACATTCAGGGAAAAAAAGCGTTGGATCGAAGAAAAAAGTGTCTACCTGCGATGAGTTTGTACAGATATAATATAAAACCATAATACTTATTTGGATTAAAAAACAATTATTTTGAGGATGTTTTCAAAAGAAAAAACCTTGAATTGAATGAAAGACGTTTTTACAGTAGTAATAACACAAACTGTGGTACTACAATGTTTTCCTACCTCCACCACCAATATTTCTTTAACTGTTGAATAAGTGTCTGCTAATCAAATAGGAAATTATATTCATAAACAATATGGTTCCTTCAACTTCATGGTACCTGATAAGGAGCTCACATGCTAACCGATGTATTTATGCTAAAAGGAACTATGTTGCACGTAAACCCTATGAGCATAGTTCCTTTTAGCATAAATACGTCCAATTGTGATACTATGCTTAGCTTGATATTAATAAAAAGTTACCTCATGAAGTCCTCAACAGAAAGAGGAGAAATCATCCAGTTGACCACATCTTCACCAGATTTTGTACTGTCATGGGTGAAATCTGCCTTTTTGGACTTCATTTTTTGTTTTTTCTTGTCTTTAGTTGTCTGCAATTTAACATTATCAAAGGCAACAGGTACAATTTCAAAATCATCATTGCTGTCAACAGCTTCAACATTATCATCATTCTCATCACTTTCACTTTCTAATTCATCGTTATGAATTTTCTTTTTAAGTTTGATTTTCGCATTTCCGTTCATGCTTGCTTCCTCTCCTACAGCTGGAAGATCATTCTGAAATTTGAGCTTTTTATTCGATTTATTCTTTAATTTTTTCTTTCTTTTCTTAATTTTCCCATCGGTATTTGAAGGGCCTTCACCGTTAGATAGTCCAATCAACTCTCCTGACTCACTTACACCATTTTCGGCAAAAGAACTACCATTGACAACTTCACTTTCTTCATGCTTCTTCTTGAGTTTCCTCTTCTTCTTCTTAGAAATGTGCGTGGCAGCAGCTGGTTTCATGGTTTTGTAGGTGGCAAAGGCTGATAATGGGGTGTTCATGACTTTCAACCTAAAAAGAACAAAATACTTGAATTGTGTGTAAGTAGGAGGTGGCAAAAATTTACAATAAAGGATTGACAGCTAGAAGCTAGAATGGATCGTAGTGAGCACAAGGGTGAATATATATATACTGCTTCAGAAGAATGAGAAAAAACTTTCTTCAATATTTGGGGACAAGCATAAAATCAATTATTATCATAGGAGAATTTAAGGTGAATCCAGGCTTTAAACTTCGCGATTTGGCCACCATGTCGCGCCGCTCAGAATAGCCGTATACATTTGCCAAAATAATAAAAACCGTAATACTTATTCAAGATTGGGATCTAGGGGATATAGCAACATACTTGAGGAACACTCAGTAAAAAAATCTTCTCAAAATTCCCAAAAATAAAGTTGTAACTACAGCGGAAAGTAATTCCCATTGTGACAATGGGAGAGGGAGAGACAGAACATGAGGGATGCGGTTGAGCGCTCGGCCGCAGCCACTGAGCTGAAAGTTTCAGCCGTACTTTTTCTGCGCTTGTAATTCCAATTGCCATTATTTTTGGCTCAAAAAGTCAAGCAAAAAATAATCTATATCTTGTAGATCTGCTTTTTGTAATTTGAACAATATTATCTCAGTAATCGTCGAAGGAAAGTGAAATTTTCAGTGGTGACTGGTGGCGCTATCTCTAATCTTGAATTATCCCTAATCTAACCCTGGTTTCACCTTACTATCAATAGGGGCAACTATTATCGTCGTTCTGAGCTACTACCTATTGAGAGAACAAAATAAGAATTTAACATGGTCGGACATAAACAAAAAGAAAATGTATGTGGTCCTCTCATTTAATTCCTAAATTTGAAATTGTGGAGTGATGGCAGAGAAAAATTGTTCCTTCTCACAGATGAGATAGCGTCCCATGGTTTGAAACGTGTGAAGAGAGAAAAGTTTCCATTGTTCACTAACTATTGGGGTACCTGCTTTGCCCCATTCTATTCACAGCAAATTTTCTTGATGCTCCATACATTGACAGGATTTCCCAAAGAAGGCTTTTTGGATGAGGCTACCCTTTAAAATATTATGCCTATCCTTCCTCCTATGCAACCGTTCAAACACACCGAGCCATTTGTGTCTTCGACCTTTCAATGGCACTGCCAACATGTAGCTGCCACAAATAGCTGAATTAAGTTGGATACCACCAGCATGCAATTACATTGATCAGTATCTTACTGACAAGTCATATGGTCCGAAACAAATTTATCGTTTGTGAAAACCATCATTCAATCATCAAGTGTCATAACATAGCATACGACTCATTTCAAAGATAGTAGTAAGAGCTAGTGAGAAAGGGAATGAGTTTAAGGAAAAATTACTTACGTGGGGGATAGATAATTTTGAGAACTACGAACTACAACATTAAAGATAAAAACTGAAAACTACGGACGTGTTATCTTGAGCGAATTACATGGACATGTGTGAATTCTAACCTCACAATCGATATTTACCGCAATTCAACAATCACCATCCTCTTGGAAACCGTTTTGTGAAAATAAAGATGACCGTTGTGTTTTCTTCCGTGTTTTGACGGCTACAGTGGGCTGACTGAGCAGAGGAATGCAGTACGCAATCGTGTTTCAGGTGTGTGAATTCTATCCGTGGGTGTGATTTTTCAAATCAAGAAATAATCGTAGTGATTTCTTCGCAGTGCCGTTTACCTCGATGGATATTCAGTGACAGTGAAATTTCAGCAGAATTACTCCAAAATGTCGCGTATAAGTGATCGACCATCTTACGCTCAAACATACAAGCTCGTCGTTGTAGGTGGAGGAGGTGTTGGAAAATCTGCTGTTACAATACAATTTATTCAGGTAAGCTACCAATTTCCAATTTCCCGAAGTGTGTTTCCTCTGATTTAAAACCTCAATTACTTCTCCGGAGCAGCTTGCTTATGTTTTCGCAGTGCAAATGATGTCCGTGGGTGTAACCCTGAACCCTTTGTCTAGTGTATGGATTAGCTATAAATAGATGCACTTTTCATTAACTGTAAACAATTAGACATGATTGATCTTAATTTATTGAGTTAACCTCTATGTCTCTAATGGTGGTCTCATATTGATAAATGGCCTAGGAACTTGTATTGTTGAATCGTATTCGCGAGACCGCCTGACCTTCCCCATAGTATTGAAGCTTACGATCATTCCAATCAGCTACCATCAAAAATTACTCAGCTTATCTAATATAAGTTGTATTGCAAGTGTAAAAAAAATCTCTGTCCTATCAGCCGGCGCCAACTGCCAATGGCAATCTCATAACTGAAGTCAGCCCCCTGTGTGATGCCTTTAATACCTGCACCATTCCTTTCCTTATTAAGGGACCTTAAAGGACTTAATTATCCTTACACATTAATTTTTTAATATATTTTGGTGCTTTTATGAGTTTGCTTTGCAGTTTTACTATTTGTATGAGGTTTCACCCCTCAAATTGCTTTTTATTTGACCAGGTGCACTGTTCCGCCCACGCACCCTGATGAATCACTTGTTTCTCAACTGTTCCCTAAGTGTATGTACCTAATAAGTCCGTTCATTTGCACCAACTTAGTTTTGCAGCTTCCTTAAGGAAAGAAAGAAAAAAAGACCAATATCCAGTATAAATTTTAGGTAACTTGCATAACTTCCTTTTTGCAAGTGCGTCCATGTACTTATCGTTATCTATGAGCATGCCAACGTAATGTCATTTTGGTCTGAGCTTTCCTGTAGTAATGCATTTTTTTATGTTCTAACAAAAGTTCTAAAGTGCAGGAAACAAGGGAAACAGAATCGTACGGTGGAAGCTTTCTGGGTTTTAGAGTATATAGGATGCAAGCACCGACGTTTTCACGCGCCCCACAGTGGATCGAATCAATTGGAGAGGTCGGACATAAAATTTTTGACTAAACATTTCAATGTCCCTTCTGGCCTCTATACCTCTGGCCAGTATCCATTAATCACATTCGGCGATATTACAGATTATTTAACACCAAACCACCCCTCGTAACGCTGGTTCAGACATTTCTAAAATAATTTCGATATCCCCCTCCCCGGTTTTTTCACGGATAAAACTCGGAATAAATGTCTCACCAAAATCTGAGAAAAGGCGTGGCTTCTGTTAAGTGAAAGTAAAAGGCTCTGTGTTTCAAGAAACAAGATAAAGCAAGACAAAAAAAACTAGCATACGCATAAGACTTTAAAACAAAAAAGAAGTTGAAATCCAGTATGTACGAGTACATACTGTTACATAACGCTGAGCTTGACACCCTCTCACCACCCTTTTTCAAGCTTGGTTTCAAAATCATGAAGACCTGCTTCCCCTTTAAGCGTTACGTAATTTACGGACCACCCCAAAAGAAACATGATTTTAAGAATTAGCAACAGAGTAGGTATCGAGTTTAAAGGTACAAATGAAAATCTTCAGTATTTTTTCTTGTACTTAGGTACCTGATGCTTCCTTCCTGAAATACCAGGTCTGGCAACTTACAATTAGATGCATGCATTTTGGCAGAGTTAACCACGAAACCATTTTAATTTTTATTCGCAAAAGTTCGCTTCATCTGTGATGAGATTACCTAATCTCCTACCCACGTCAATTTGCACAGATATGATGGCTTTTTCGATGAATAACATTTTTTCACAATGTTGCCATCGCGTGGACCAAAATAAAAATGTTTCGTTTCGTCCAACAATATTAAATGCATCTCTGTCTCCTTTGGTCGTGAACAGGCAACTTTAACTTGATCATAATCGCCAGTTCGGCGGTGAAAATGATCCGAATTTTTCCAGTAGACAGCGTGAAATGTGCAGATTTAGGTATCAAAGCTGGCAGCGTTTTGCGGTCAGCAGTTTCGAATGCGTGGATGGGACCCGATCGTGGCACACATTTTAAAGCGTGTTTTCTCCTGATTTGGTTTGTCCATGTAATCTGGTTTAAGCAAATATGCAGCTCATTATGAGAAACCGAGTTTTTTAAAACGACTCCAAAAAAATCGCTCGGGGGCGTGCTTATGCGATGAGGACGACGGAATTGTGTTGAATGTGTCCATAGGCGGATCCAGCATTTTGGCAACACCGGAAAATGATCGATTCTTGACGGGAATACTGCATTACNCACAGACCATCGACAGTGGTAGAAAGTGAGAAACACCTATAAAGAAATCTCATGCTTACTTTTTGGTTTGGCAACATCGTAAAATTCGAGACAGCCTTACATATCTAAACCTCGACCGATCGATTTGGGCACATTGCCAAAGTTTCGATCTCTCGCTCCACCATGTTGGATTTTTGGAGGTAATGCCGTTGTAGGTAATGTCCTGCCCCCATTCTTGACGGAGCACCTGGTCTCTCCGGGAATCGATACATTTCCATAAGTTTATATGGAGAAAAAACAGTGTTACCAATTTGCTGGATCCGCCAATGCGGTGGTCCGTTGCGTCGAATTCACGCTCAACTTACTTACATTTTTATTTTTCAATTTTGGACTCCTCCAGTAGGTTTGAGATTTCGGAGTTTTTGATGACCGTCAGCTTTCATATGCTTGAAACTTCATGGTGACCCTCAGAAGCCCCTGTATAGCATTTTGAAAATGGGAGAATACAGGGGTTTTCCTTCAAAAAAGAGCAAAAGAAGACAGTCCTCCCCTCTCCCCCTCTTTGTAGTTTCAACAAAAAATGCCTTGTTTCGCACATGTACCTCTCAGAAAGTGCCTAGCAAGTACCTAGTTGACTCATCAAAATCATGTTGCAAGGACGTGCCCTGNACTGGCCGCTCACAAGAAACTCAAAGCTCTACGTGAGTCAAATCGCGCACTACAATGGTTTCAGCAAGCTTCTCAATCGAGCAATGTTCATTTCCCACCATGTGTTGTTCAAACTATAAGTAATTTGTTATAGCTGATCCAAAGCGTCAAGACTGAGGTTGCCAGATTTTTATATCGCTGAGACGTTTAAGATAACGTTAAGCGCGCGATGTGAATGACGTAGAGCATTGAGTTTTCATGAGCGGGTGGTTTCAATTCACGCATCAAGAATCATTAAATATCTTCGTAAGGAGTTAATTTCGGTAATTTTCGTTGTGCGTATCGTGTTCTACGTGAAATTTTGGTTAGGAAACATGTATCAGAATGCTTAAATTCGTACCTTGTCTAGTGGTCCATTGTGGCTTTTTGTCGAATTCTTACTAAGGAATTGAGTCGAGGCTTCCCAATTTATGTCGAAGTTGATAGTAGGACCAGTGGGACCTAAAAGCTCCATGACCCAACGTCCAAATCAGCGACATGTCCGCACCCCCCCCCCCCCCCCC